TATGCTGGCTGCTCCTATTTTTTCTGTACCTAACTGGTCTACTGTTACCCAGCGCTCATATTTCTATTGTTTTCATTAACTTGTCTGATAAACCAAGGTCAGACATGGTAGATTGCCACTCAGGCCTTTGTATTATCAATGAAATGCTGTGTGCTAATTTTTTGCTTATCAAAATTACCAGCAATGATTTTTGGTCCCCTTCTCAATAGTTCAGAGAAACCTTGTATTGGTGTCTTTTTACCAAATCTGAAGGGCTGCAGTAGTAAAGTACATGTGAAAAGTCTGGAACAAACAAACATAATACAGCTAATTTTAATTATTCAGCCCTTCTGCTCTCAGAAGTGGATCATGCTGAGAAATGTTTTATTTATCAGACAAGTTCTGCTTTTTTTTGATACGTCTGTCAGCCGTAGAGCAATTGAGTATGCCAATCATTTGTCCTCTGTGTTTGTCATTTGGCAGCACATTCCATTTGTACTTTTTCCCTATAAATCTGTTAAAGCACCTATGGAACTTTTGCTGCTGTGTCACTAGTGTCCATTTTTCATTATATTTAATTGAAAAAAAAAATACTTAAGAAATAAAAGTGAATTCAGTTAATTATTTTAATGATTCACATTTTTTCATCATATTTTATATTGAGCAAGTATAAATAACTGATTTTAGCTTGGTTAAAACCTCTTGCAGCCCCTTCAGCAGCAATAAGGTTAGGAGAGGGAAAGGGAAGTACTTGGGACCAGTCCTGACTTTGTCAGTCCACTGCAACCCTTTCACTATTCAATCACAGGCTGGGGTGAATTGCTTAGCTGGTGCAGAGAAAAGTCAAGTGGCCAAGTTGGCTATCCTGTCTAGCAAGAATTTTGTAGTGCTACCCTCTTGAGAGCCGCTGGCTTTGAGTCCCCCTTTTTTCCTGCACAGCCAGGCAACACACATTTTCCAGACACAAGAAATAGTCCATGGATTTGTTTTTTATTTTTATTTATTAGGGAATTTATTATGGGGTTATGGGATGTCCAACTTGATTGAAGAATAACAAATGAGGACAATTTCCTTCTCTAGGATACTACAAAAATGGCAGATATTTGACTCAGTTATAGCCAGAACATGACAGTCTTTAGCAAAGTGACAGCTTGCAGGAGCTCTGAGTCCCCTCAAGTAGATTTTAGCAAAGTCCCAACTTGTAGGCGCTCCTGGTCCCCTAAGTGAACAAAATACCAGCCCACCTGGTTACGGTATCTGATCTTAGGACAAGGGGTTAGATAAGCTATGAACTGTTCCCTGAAGACTTGCCAAGAACTTGCATCCAGCAGACTTCTCCTTTATAGACCTTGGGGGGTGTAAAGGTATTCACACTGTCCTTGTCCTGCAGCTGTGGATTGAACTGCAAATGTATATTGAAAAGTGAGTTGGTACAGTTGGAAATAGGAGGTACATCATTGACAATCTGCAGTCACAGTTAGTGTCATAATTCTGGACACCAAAAGGGTAAACAGCAGACCCAGGTCTGAACCATGTACACCATAAAAATTATTTAAGGCAGATGAGAACCATAAATTATCATCTGGAAATAACAACAGTATCATAAGCCCACATTATCATCCTCATCACAAGCTGAAGTACGCACATAGAAGAAAAATATATTTAAAATATATTTTAAAAATATTCTTCCCAAACATATTGCGTTATATTTGAAATACTACAATTTTGGCCATGTTCAATATATTTATATTATATATATATATATATATATATATATATATATATATATACTGCATGCTGAAATGCTTTTTATTACAAAATATATGAAAAATATTTTTAAACTACATTTCAAATATACTGTATGTCTTTAAATATACAAATCTTCATTTTTAGAATGCATTTATAAATATATGTAAAAATATATGTTAAAATGACTTTTTTATATGTTTAAAAAATTTTGAAGAATATATTTAAAAAATACATTTTTTTTAAATATATTCTTCAGATTGTGAAATTTGTCACTCTCCAAGTCAGGAATTAAGTAAAGCCCAGTAAATGCTGCTCCCATATAGGTATTTTAATTGTATTGTTATTTACTGTAGCAGTTTGCCAGAAATTTGGTTAGAAAGATACCTTATTTATTCATAACAATCCTAACCCTAAACAGTATACCCTTTTATTACTCTTTATACAGCATTCTTGATATTACAGATACTAAATCTCAGTCCATAACTGGGTGCTACACGCTGTAGTCACAACTAGAGATGAGCGAAGTATTCAAAAATTTGATTCGGCTGATTCGGCGAATTCGAGGAATAAATTCGATTCGATCGAATATATTCGCTGCGAATTTAACTTATAAAAAGGGTGTTTCTAGGCTTCAGAGAGCCTTTATATTAGTGCAGAACACTGTACCCTTAATTTAAATGCCCTTGGAGTCTGCTGGGGAAGAGAAATAATACTGTCAGTCAGTATGACATGCAGATGAGTGCCGTCGATCTTAGAATCACCGCACACTTCACTCATTTGGGCAGTCACGGGGCCAAAACCAGAGTGTGGAGCCACAGTGTGGCGGTGGAGGCAGCAGCAATGGGAGGCCATACAGCACCCTATGACAAAATGGAACCCACCAGCAGTGTGAGGAGACCTGAAAGTGGCACATGGCAGAGTGTGGCGATGGAGACAGCAGCAATGGGAGGCCGTACAGGGACCCATGAGACACTCTGGACCTGGCAGCAGCATGAGGAGGCGGGGCGGTACAGGGGCCCATGAAAGATTACGGGCCAGGCAGCAGCATGAGGAGTCGGTAAAGGGGGCCCATGGCAGAAAATGGAACCCACCAGCAGTGTGAGGAGACCTGAAAGTGGCACATGGCAGAGTGTGGCGATGGAGACAGCAGCAATGGGAGGCCGTACAGGGACCCATGAGACACTCTGGACCTGGCAGCAGCATGAGGAGGTGGAGTACGGGGGCCCATGACAGATTACGGGCCTGGCAGCAGCAATGGGAGGCCCGTAATCTGCCAGCACCCTATGACAAAATGGAACCCACCAGCATGTGAGGAGACCTGAAAGTGGCACATGGCAGAGTGTGGCGATGGAGACAGCAGCAATGGAGGCCGTACAGGGACCCATGACACACTCTGGACCTGGCAGCAGCATGAGGAGGCGGTACAGGGGCCCATGACAGATTACGGGCCTGGCAGCAGCATGAGGAGTCGGTACGGGGGCCCATGGCAGATTACGGGCCTGGCAGCAGCAATGGGAGGCCCGTAATCTGCCAGCACCCAATGACAAAATGGAACCCACCAGCAGTGTGAGGAGACCTGAAAGTGGCACATGGCAGAGTGTGGCGATGGAGACAGCAGCAATGGGAGGCCGTACAGGGACCCATGAGACACTCTGGACCTGGCAGCAGCATGAGGAGGCGGTACAGGGGCCCATGGCAGATTACGGGCCTGGCAGCAGCAAATGGGAGGCCCGTAATCTGCCAGCACCCTATGACAAAATGGAACCCACCCAGCAGTGTGAGGAGACCTGAAAGTGGCACATGGCAGAGTGTGGCGATGGAGACAGCAGCAATGGGAGGCCGTACAGGGACCCATGAGACACTCTGGACCTGGCAGCAGCATGAGGAGGCGGTACAGGGGCCCATGGCAGATTACGGGCCTGGCAGCAGCAATGGGAGGCCCGTAATCTGCCAGCACCCTATGACAAAATGGAACCCACCAGCAGTGTGAGGAGACCTGAAAGTGGCACAGGCAGAGTGTGGCGATGGAGACAGCAGCATGGGAGGCCGTACAGGGACCCATGAGACACTCTGGACCTGGCAGCAGCATGAGGAGGCGGTACAGGGGCCCATGGCAGATTACGGGCCTGGCAGCAGCAATGGGAGGCCCGTAATCTGCCAGCACCCTATGACAAAATGGAACCCACCAGCAGTGTGAGGAGACCTGAAAGTGGCACATGGCAGAGTGTGGCGATGGAGACAGCAGCAATGGGAGGCCGTACAGGGACCCATGATGACACACTCTGGACCTGGCAGCAGCATGAGGAGGCGGTACAGGGGCCCATGACAGATTACGGGCCTGGCAGCAGCATGAGGAGTCGGTACGGGGGCCCATGGCAGATTACGGGCCTGCAGCAGCAATGGGAGGCCCGTAATCTGCCAGCACCCTATGACAAAATGGAACCCACCAGCAGTGTGAGGAGACCTGAAAGTGGCACATGGCAGAGTGTGGCGATGGAGACAGCGCAATGGGAGGCCGTACAGGGACCCATGACAGACTCTGGACCTGGCAGCAGCATGAGGGCGGTACAGGGGCCCATGGCAGATTACGGGCCTGGCAGCAGCAATGGGAGGCCCGTAATCTGCCAGCACCCTATGACAAAAAAATGGAACCCCACCAGCAGTGTGAGGAGACCTGAAAGTGGCACATGGCAGAGTGTGGCGATGGAGACAGCAGCAATGGGGCCGGCCGTACAGGGACCCCATGAGAGAGACTCTGGACCTGGCAGCAGCATGAGGAGGCGGTACAGGGGCCCATGGCAGATTACGGGCCTGGCAGCAGCAATGGGAGGCCCGTAATCTGCCAGCACCCTATGACAAAATGGAACCCACCAGCAGTGTGAGGAGACCTGAAAGTGGCACATGGCAGAGTGTGGCGATGGAGACAGCAGCAATGGGAGGCCGTACAGGGACCCATGAGACACTCTGGACCTGGCAGCAGCATGAGGAGGCGGTACAGGGGCCCATAGATTACGGGCCTGGCAGCAGCAATGGGAGGCCCGTAATCTGCCAGCACCCTATGACAAAATGGAACCACCAGCAGTGTGAGGAGAGACCTGAAAGTGGCACATGGCAGAGTGTGGCGATGGAGACAGCAGCAATGGGAGGCCGTACAGGGGCCCATGACAGATTCTGGACCTGGCAGCAGCATGAGGAGTCGGTACGGGGGCCCATGGCAGATTACGGGCCTGGCAGCAGCAATGGGAGGCCCGTAATCTGCCAGCACCCTATGACAAAAAATGGAACCCACCAGCAGTGTGAGGAGACCTGAAAGTGGCACATGGCAGAGTGTGGCGATGGAGACAGCAGCAATGGGAGGCCGTACAGGGACCCATGACACACTCTGGACCTGGCAGCAGCATGAGGAGGCGGTACAGGGGCCCATGACAGATTACGGGCCTGGCAGCAGCAATGAGAGGCCCGTAATCTGCCAGCACCCTGGCAGATTACGGGCCTGGCACCAGCAATGTGAGGAGACCTGAAAGGGACCCATGACACAGGTGGACCTGGAGACAGCAGCAATGGGAGGCCGTACAGGGGCCCATGACAGATTACGGGACCTGGCAGCAGCATGAGGAGGCGGTACGGGGGCCCATGGCAGATTACGGGCCTGGCAGCAGCAATGGGAGGCCCGTAATCTGCCAGCACCCTATGACAAAATGGAACCCACCAGCAGTGTGAGGAGACCTGAAAGTGGCACATGGCAGAGTGTGGCGATGGAGACAGCAGCAATGGGAGGCCGTACAGGGACCCATGAGACACTCTGGACCTGGCAGCAGCATGAGGAGGCGGTACAGGGGCCCATGGCAGATTACGGGCCTGGCAGCAGCAATGGGAGGCCCGTAATCTGCCAGCACCCTATGACAAAATGGAACCCACCAGCAGTGTGAGGAGACCTGAAAGTGGCACATGGCAGAGTGTGGCGATGGAGACAGCAGCAATGGGAGGCCGTACAGGGACCCATGACAGATTACGGGACCTGGCAGCAGCATGAGGAGGCGGTAGGGGGCCCATGGCAGATTACGGGCCTGGCAGCAGCAATGGGAGGCCCGTAATCTGCCAGCACCCTATGACAAAAAATGGAACCCACCAGCAGTGTGAGGAGACCTGAAAGTGGCACATGGCAGAGTGTGGCGATGGAGACAGCAGCAATGGGAGGCCGTACAGGGACCCATGACAGACTCTGGACCTGGCAGCAGCATGAGGAGGCGGTACGGGGGCCCATGGCAGATTACGGGCCTGGCAGCAGCAATGGGAGGCCCGTAATCTGCCAGCACCCTATGACAAAAAATGGAACCCACCAGCAGTGTGAGGAGACCTGAAAGTGGCACATGGCAGAGTGTGGCGATGGAGACAGCAGCAATGGGAGGCCGTACAGGGACCCATGAGACACTCTGGACCTGGCAGCAGCATGAGGAGGCGGTACAGGGGCCCATGGCAGATTACGGGCCTGGCAGCAGCAATGGGAGGCCCGTAATCTGCCAGCACCCTATGACAGAAACGGGCCTGGCAGCAGCAATGGGAGACCTGAAAGTGGCACATGGCAGAGTGTGGCGATGGAGACAGCAGCAATGGGAGAGAGCCGTACAGGGGCCCATGACAGATCTGGGCCTGGCAGCAGCATGAGGAGGCGGTACGGGGGCCATGGCAGATTACGGGCCTGGCAGCAGCAATGGGAGGCCCGTAATCTGCCAGCACCCTATGACAAAATGGAACCCACCAGCAGTGTGAGGAGACCTGAAAGTGGCACATGGCAGAGTGTGGCGATGGAGACAGCAGCAATGGGAGGCCGTACAGGGACCCATGAGACACTCTGGACCTGGCAGCAGCATGAGGAGGCGGTACGGGGCCCATGGCAGATTACGGGCCTGGCAGCAGCAATGGGAGGCCCGTAATCTGCCAGCACCCTATGACAAAAATGGAACCCACCAGCAGTGTGAGGAGACCTGAAAGTGGCACATGGCAGAGTGTGGCGATGGAGACAGCAGCAGAATGGGAGGCCGTACAGGGACCCATGACAGACTACTGGACCTGGCAGCAGCATGAGGAGGCGGTACAGGGGGGCCCATGGCAGATTACGGGCCTGGCAGCAGCAATGGGAGGCCCGTAATCTGCCAGCACCCTATGACAAAATGGAACCCACCAGCAGTGTGAGGAGACCTGAAAGTGGCACATGGCAGGCAGAGTGTGGCGATGGAGACAGCAGCAATGGGAGGCCGTACAGGGACCCATGAGAGACTCTGGACCTGGCAGCAGCATGAGGAGGCGGTACGGGGGCCCATGGCAGATTACGGGCCTGGCAGCAGCAATGGGAGGCCCGTAATCTGCCAGCACCCTATGACAAAATGGAACCCACCCACCAGCAGTGTGAGGAGACCTGAAAGTGGCACATGGCAGAGTGTGGCGATGGAGACAGCAGCAATGGGAGGCCGTACAGGGACCCATGAGAGACTCTGGACCTGGCAGCAGCATGAGGAGGCGGTACAGGGGCCCATGACAGATTACGGGCCTGGCAGCAGCATGAGGAGTCGTACGGGGGGCCCATGGCAAAATTACGGGCCCACAGCAGCAATGGGAGGCCCGTACCTGAAAGGGCCCATGACAAAGTGGAACCCTGGAGACAGCAGCATGAGGAGGCCGTACAGGGACCCATGACAGATGGGACTCTGGACCTGGCAGCAGCATGAGGAGGCGGTACAGGGGCCCATGGCAGATTACGGGCCTGGCAGCAGCAATGGGAGGCCCGTAATCTGCAGCACCACCCTATGACAAAAAAAGGAACAGCAGCATTGTGAGGAGACCTGAAAGTGGCACATGGCAAAGTAATAACATGTTTGGGGCATGATTCATGGCGGATTTAGTCAGTTGTGTCAGGAACTGGTGGTTTGAAATCCAGACTAATCCACGCCTGATTCATTTTCACAAACGTGAGTCTCTCCACACTTTGGGTGGACAGTCGTGTCCTCCGCGGAGTTACAATACCTCCTGCCGCACTAAACACGCGCTCCCGATGCCACGCTACTGGCCGGGCATGACAGCCTTTCAAGGGCAAATTCAGCTAGTTGGGGCCAAAGGTCAAGTTTCGTTGCCCAGTAGTCAAGGGGATTGTCTACCTCGGTTGGCAGGGTGCTGTCCAAGTAGGCCCAAGCCTGTTGTTTGAGGTCCTGCTCCAGGTCCACCTGATGCTGCTGCTGCTGCTGCGCTGGTAGTAGTAGTTTTCCTCACTGCGCTGGTGAAGAAAGCTACTCATCATCATCGACTGCAGACTGAGCAGCCGCTGCTGGTGGAGCTGCCACTGCTCCTACCACCCCACCCCTCCCCTGCTGCCATGGCAGCGGAACGCGAGCGCACAGGGCCCACAGTGTCTGAGGATGGACGTTGGCGCAGAAAGGCAGAGACCAACTGACTACATAGGTGGTTTTTATAGTACGTTATTTTGGCCTCCCTCTCAGCAGGTGTGAAAAAGGCCACCATTTTTGAACGGTAGCGAGGGTCCAACAAGGTGGACAGCCAAAAGTCATCATCCCTCTGTCTGATGGTTATTATTCGGCTGTCGCTACGCAAGCAACCGAGCATGCTATGGGCCATTTGTGCCAAGGAATGCGAGGGACTCCCTGCCTCCATCTCCACAGCATACTGCCACGGTGCGTCTGGGGTCCTCTGTCTCCTCCTCCTCCTCCTCTACCAGATGCTCCTGCTCCTCCACTCCTGTCCGCTGAGTGGAAAAACCACCCATTTCACTCAATAATTCCTGAGCACCAATGTCCTCCTCTACCTCCTCCTCTCTTCTCTTGTTCCTCCTGCCCCCACAGGGGTCATGTGGCGTTGAGATCTGTGCGCCACGTCTACCGCACCCTGACCAGCCATTGTTAACAGCATTTGTTCCAGGACGTGCAACAGAGGAATGACGTCGTTCATCCCATAGTCCTGCCGACTCACGAATAGCGTGGCCTCCTCAAAGGGCCTGAGCAAGCGGCAGGTGTCACGCATGAGCTGCCAATGGCTGACATCGAAGTTACACAGGGGAGTACCTTTATCCGCTTGTAACATCAGGAAATTGGTGATGGCCTTTCGCTGTTCGTAAAGGCGGGTCTAACATATGTAGGGTTTGAATTCCACCTTGTTGCAAACGTCGCAGATCAGGCGATGCTGTGGAATTCCGTTCTGCCCGCTGCAGCTCAAGGAGGGTGTGCTTTGCGGTGTAGGAATGGCTGAAATGCATGCAAAGTTTACGTGAAATTTTAAGGATGTCTTGCAGTGGGATGGTGGATTTTAGGAACCGCTTGACAACCAGATTGAACACGTGAGCCATGCATGGCGCATGGCACAACCTTCCTTGACGCAGAGCAGACACCATGTTCTTTCCGTTGTCGGTCAACATGGTTCCGATTTTCAGTTTGCGCGGAGACAGCCATCTGTCGATTTCTCTGTTCATTACACTCAGAAGTTCCTTCCCCTGTGTGACTACGTTCGCCAAGGCATACCAGGTGCAGCACAGCGTGACACCGTTGCGCCCTGCACATGTGATATGCCGGTCGGGTAATGGGACTTGGCACGGGGGTGGCGGCTGAGGACACGGCGGAAGAAGAGGTGGTAGAGGCGGACATCTTTGCTGGACCAAGGACGTGCAAACGTGGAGGCAAAAGCGGCGTGACCTGTCCAAGTTGCTGGTGCGGCTGTGCCGGCACCACGTTCACCCAGTGGGCCGTAAATGACATGTACTGTCCCTGACCGTAGTTACAGCTCCACACGTCGGCGCTGCCGTGCACTTTGGCAGAGACCGACATGCTCAAAGACTGGCCCACCATCTCTTCTACATGTGAATGCAGGGCTGGCACTGCCTTTTTGGCGAAGAAATGCCGGCTTGGCACTCTCCACCGCGGCGCGGCACAAGCCATCATTTCTCGGAAAGGTGCTGAGTCCACCACTTGGAAAGGGAGGGACTGCAGCACCAGCAACTTGGACAGGAGGACGTTCAGCTTTTGCACCGTCGGGTGCGTGCTCGCAAACTGTTGTCTCTTGGAAACGGATTCCAAGAAAGACTGCTGACGGAATCCGTGAAGAGGAGTAGCAGGAGAAGGAGCATCTGAACGAGCGGAAGATGCCAACGAGCGACAACTCCCCTCAGCAGAGGTGTTGGAGCCTTGACTGGCTGATAGAGGGCGATTGACGTCGGGTGACGGAGCAAGTAACGGAGCGGGTGATGGAGCGGGGGCTGGGGCAGGCAGAACCGCCGTATCTTTATCACGGTTTTCCCAGGCCACCGAATGGCGACGCTGCATATGCTGACGCAACGCTGTAGTCTCAACATGGGCCCCCTTGCCACGCTTGACTTTCTGCCCACATAGTCGACATACGGCTATGTTTACTTCCTCGGGCGGCTTGACAAAAAATTGCCACACCGCCGAGTAGGAAACTTTGCCCCCCGCTACTCCTCACTGGCTGACTGCTACTTCCTCCGTGCACACCGGCACCACTACTGGCCGTGGTGGTAGGCTGCAGTGGAGCTGGTGCTGTACTCCGTGGCCGTTTGCCTCCACTGACACTGCTGCGACCCTGCTGCCTCCTGGGCAACCCACCGACTGTTTTGCTCACTGCCAAGCTGGCACCCTCTTCTCCTGATGATGCGGAAGAAATAGCCTGATGACGACGAGGCTGCCAAGTGCGATCAGCCTCATCATCATCAATTAGGGTCTCCGCCTCACTACTAGCCCCCTCGGCTGCGTGTGGGTCAGGAGACAGACCTGTCTCTAGACCGGCTACCGAGCCACTCTCCTCGCCAGT